TTTAGCTCAAAACGCGTTGTAAACTTTTGTTCAGGAACAGTGCGACAAAAGGCTATTTTCCTTTCAGCCAGACCTTTGAAATAGGATACGTAAACAAACTGAAACATAAAATGTCGCCGATTTCAGGATGATGTGCCCCTAAAGACCAAAGAATTCGTAATAGAAGCCGTGGTAGATGGCTGCAGCTCTCTGCTCCTCCCCTGTATGTGCGTTGATACCAAATTGTCTGTTGGTATGATGTGAGACAATATGTATTTCAATCACACAAAATGATGATGAAGAGCGCAGTTGAAGTCTTCGTTGTTTTTATCAGCCTAATATTACGACCGGATTGAACCCACACTCCATACAATTAGTCAGATGACCCTGCAGTGATAATATTTAATGGCAGCAGCAATTAGGGTTTTTTTCATGGTCTCCGTTTAAATAATATGGAAAAGTTAAAGGTAGAAGTTTCATCATGTAGTTGGTGATCGAAATTTCAGGGAGATCGCTTAAAGGTTTCTCTATATGCAAATCTAGACAGCGTTCGTAGAATCTAACAGATATAGCAGCGGTCAAAATGGGACGGCCCTGCCTGAAAGTTATGTTCGATTCCCTTCTAGCTGTCGGTCTGGTAGTCTGTATAGATGCTGACAATGGAGCTAGCTAGACTATCCAAAGAGGAGAAATTGAATTTGGAACACTTTTTGGTACATCAATCATTTCTTCCATTTTTTTGTTGACCGTGTGTGTATTTGTGCCCGTTTCCGTTTGTTAAACAGAGTGCTTTATTACCGCTGTTTCTTCTTTTGTCCCTCTTCTTTTCTCCCCTTCTGTACTGCACAACGGATTTTTCTCTTCAAACAGCGGTTAATCACGCCAGTCTCAGCCACTTTGCGACACGAAAGACGACTAATGTTTTCCAAACCAATGGTAAAAAGCTCGACAGTCGGAGGTCGCAGGTTCAAACCCCGCTGCCGTCAAGCATGTCTTCCTTCAACTTTAAAAATTTTTTTTGTAATAGTCAGCCTCCCTTTGTGGTTTATTAGAACAGTTCAAAAAAAGTATCGTTGCTCATTATATTCCCAAAAAAATGTGTACACCACGATGTCTCATGCCGCATGATCATCTTTCTTGGCAAATACCATTGTCATGCTCCTCATATCACCAATAGGCCTAGGGGGGGGGGTGAAATATCTATAAAAATAATAAAAAATAAAAACCACTCCGTGCTGCTATTTAGCAAATTTAATAGGGAAACAAATTATTTCAATAAGTTGCTAAATAAGCTGTTGAGAATTCGTTGATTCCCTTTGGTGAAGGTCATAACTATGAAATTTTAATATTTAGAAATTATCATCTTTAAGTGTACACGGGATCATTTGTCGTTTGTGTTTTTTACGCGGTCAATGGCAACTATACATTTTGAGAAAACAGAGAAAACGTGTACATAATTCTTTAGGTCTCTTGCCTCGATTTCGTGGCTTACGAACTCAAAAGAATGCGCCCGCGAGCACACCTTTTTCGGAACTCTTTGCGAACAAAACAACTTCAGGCGGACTAATTTTCCAGAGTATTCGGTACCATCCAAATTGTCGGACATAGTTCCTCGCGGAGCGGTGTCACTTCCGTGATGTGATTGTTAGAGGTACTGGACAACGTTTGGAAACATTCAAAAACAAAACTGCTAAAATATTACTTGACTGTCAGTAATTAGGCCCCCAAAAAAGTCTCCGGTTTCTGGTATGGAGCTTGCCCAAAGAGTGGTGCGGCGACGCGGCTTTTTTTTTTTTACCTGTTTTTTTTTTTGCTTCAAATGTCGGCCGATGACTGCAAATGGTGCCCGACTAAACTTCGTGCAAATATATGGGAGTCCAGAGAGGCCACATAAAGCTTATTCTCGATCATAACCCCATCTAAAAACATGTTAAAATTGTGCAGCAGCAGGATTCCAGTCAAACCAGTGTGTTTGGCGGTTTGAGACATCATCTTTCATTGAAAAAAAACAACTTTTTTTTTTGCCTTACGTTAAGGATAATTAATACACGAGGAGCGCGCCGTGGGGATGAATGGCCCGAGGGCGATTCTTATTAACCACAAACGGCGCGCTACCGAGTGAATTAACCAACTTAACACCCTCCAAGAACTCTTCATTATTGCTTGAACGAAGGCCTTTGTGAAGGTTCATTGTGAAATTTGTTAAGATAGGCAAATTATGTTTATTCATGAGAAAAGAACAATGAGGCCACATCGTTGTTATTATTTAGTAAATTACATACATTTAAAGCGTTCAAAAGAATGGCAGTCGCCCAGCTGCCACAGTAACGAGATGAGTTATGGATTACAAGGTCCCTGGTTCGAATCCTGCTTATGTCAATTTTTCCTGAGACTATTTTTTCTACTACAACTTTATCGACTGTTTTTATTGAAGGGGGAAAAACGAGAACCAACACCTGAGTGTCTTGCTGTGATTCGATGAAATTTCGGAGTTATTCTTATGTAGCTTCACCCACCAATGCAATATGCATAAAATGCCGAGTGGCACGCTGTGTTCCATTCGTGCTAAGTAATGTCAAGGATAAACGATAGTGTGACGTCACAGGAGGGTGTTAATAGGATCAAGCATCCTGTGCAATCAGTGCGCCTAGTTTGATGTCATTTTCCAATAAAAATGAATTACCGAGTTTATTTCCTCGCGATTGTTTATGGGAATAAAGGCCTAGGTGAAAAAAGACTCCCAATTCATCGAATTAAGTAGTTTGTAATCGGCTGCATATCTGTGGATGGGGATCGTCTACCGATGATCCCCAATACATATGTTCCCCAATACCTATATATGTTCCCCAAAATCCTTAGGGTTAAGGTTAGGGTTAGGTACTATGAGGTTAGGGTTAGGGTTGGAGAACATATTGGTATTGGGTATGCACCCCTGTGGATGAGACGTATTTCCGCAAGAGGGTGCAATTCAAAACGTATTTATGAATATTTTGATATTTTGGAAGGGAGGGCAGGGCTTGCAATGGAAACCTTGCTCTGCGTCTAGAAATACAATGCAGATTTTCACCGTTTTCTCAACAATCAAATCTACTGAGCTGAAATTTCTACATGTTTATTTTTTAATAACCTAATTCAGATTTATTGTACTGTTGTATCCGTGAATCGGCCAATAATATGTTTCGTCGGGTGCCAGGAAGAAGGTCGTAAGGGCGAAAAATGGTCAGAAGGTCAAATTCGGATTTTTCAGGTAATCGATAAAGCTTGGAAATATTTCTCATTTGATGTACATATTGTCTCAAGGGGCTACGTCATTCTGACGTAGTTAACAGTAAACAAAAGTAGGACGGTTTTTTTTTCATTATTTTGTGCCTGGCAAAAGGTCGTAAGGATTTAACATACCGCTTAAGCGTACGTTTAAGGCTTCGGAAGTTCCCGGGAAAGGGTTGTTAGCATAAAAATTGAAATAAAAATAAGTAATATTTTTACATAAAAATGCACAATATTCTTTTAATTATTAACGAATTTCATCAGTCAGAATTTCAACCTTATGCGATTTTTAACCTAGGAATGGCAGCACAAAACCTTTCAACTCGAATATCTCCAAAAGTGCTTTTTGCGTGCCTATTACATGTACCTATTATTGCGATTCTCGTGTGACGTTGAACGCTATTTATGCCTTACAGCGCTGCCAGGAATACTTGAAGCAAGGACAGAAAAGCTTACCGTCGGATGTCAACAACGGGTTTTTTTCTTCACAGTATCCGTTAAACGCATAATGCGGCGTAAGTCTCATTGACAGCTGGGGCTTATAATTTGATGCGTTGAATCGCTGTTGGGAATTTACAGAAACGGCAACAACACAGGCTTTGGGTTTTTTTTTTTCAATTTGTCCTCTGTCAGTGCAAGGCATTTCATGGATATGTTGTAACCAACTGGGCCAATGTGGTAATTACAAAATGTAAAAAGAAAAAAAATATTGCGAAATTTCCACGGGCGGCGATCCGGGGTGAATGGGGAAGTATTCCCCCTTCCACCCCCGCCCGCGATTTTTTTCCCCAAACGACATCCGCATATGGTGTACGCTATCGGACGTTTTGGATTTTACTTCTCTTAAAAACATGGGAGAAAATATAGAATTATAAAAAAAGGAATGAAATCGAACGTAATAAAATTCGGACTTTATTTCCCTTTCAAAAAAAGTCCTCCGAAGCCTCAGAAAAGAAAAAAAAATCGGGTGAAATGATGTTTCGAACCCACATCGCGGGGATCCCTCGCGGTACAAAACCACGACTCTACCGACTGAGCTATCGAACTGCTCGGCTATTCCTGGAAATTCATGGTAATATATACCTGCGTACGTATCATAAAGGTGTCGTAGAGGGCGCTCAACAACCATGTAATGCAGATGTTGTTTAGGGGAAAGAAAATCGCCCCCCCCCCCAACAATTTATCCAAGTGCGTATAGATTTTAACCCAACGTAACAAAATGTTTTAAAAAAATTATAGCTGTAAGATATTGCTTGTTCACTATCCTATTTACGAAAATTGCACATAATGAAAATATTATGTGCATAATTAAATGTGCATACAAACATACATCTGTTTGCAGCGCCCTCTATGGTCACTCCCCACCCCGTCCGTTCCCCCATGCGCTGGAAGATAGCTTTGATTGTTATTACCTCCCACACAGGAAGACGCAGCTCAGCAACTGCAGCGGGCACATTTCCCTGACGACGACACGTGGGAGTTTCAATAGAGAGACTGATATGGAGAAACTAAATCCGAGAACGGATATATATTGTCGTTACCGGACTAGAATCAGTACAATTTGATTGCACCTGTGTCGCGACTTGATCCTTTGAGAAGGTCGTGGATCGGATTTCTACGGGTGCTGTTATATTAGGGATGAGATAAGGTGTAGCACGATGAAGCCAACAGTAGCAGTAGACCATAACATACGGAGTGTACAGTGAAAGTCAACAAGCAAATTCAAGTAAGCTAATAAGACTGAAAGATCCACGATGCAGGACCCTACTCCGACCAAAGCAGACGTGCCGGTGTCGTCGGTGTACGACAGTTTTGCTGAGAAGCAGTTGTTGGCAGCGCTGTACAGCCTCATCTGTTTGATGGGAGTGGTGGGCAATAGTTCTGTCTTGCTGGCCGTGATTCTCTCTCGTAAACCCCGCACCACCACTAACGTCTTCGTGGTCAACTTGGCCGTAGCGGACCTCCTTTCGTGCCTGAATCTTCCCATCATGATCCTGGCGGTGCTGAGCGACAGCAGGGAAGATTTGCTCGTTTCAGAGAGTCTCTGCGCTGTTGAGGGATTCCTGCTCCTCGTGTGCGTGTGGACCAGCCTGAACAACATCACGATCTTCGCCGTTTACCGCGCCTTTATCACTCGCAGGAAAAACCGCAGCCGTTTGTTTAACCGTCGTCGTCTTGCTGCTCTGGTTGTAACAACTTGGCTCGTTCCCTTCGCAGTGGGACTCGTACCCACCGTCATGTACGGATTCAGCTCGTACGGATACGATGATAAACTAAGCACCTGTACCTTCAGCCCAGCTTCAGAGGGCACCGGTGCATTCTCCAGAATCACGACTGCCCTCTTCTACCCGGTTCAACTTACTGTTACCTTTGCTAGTTATGCAGTTATCTTATACACGGTGAGGCAGCACGTCGGTAGAGTCGACGCCATTCCCAAGCAGCCCCTAGCCGTCGTTAGTGGAGTCATGAGCCTCACTTCACAGTCCAGAGGGCCACAACAACTAGTCCATGAGGAAGTTCCAGGGCACAGCCAGCAGCTGCGGGCGCCTACTTCAAACCTACTCTGGTCAGGTACACACAGATCTTTGCACGCCCACCCTCTCCCAACACGCTCCAGCACCGACAGAAGGCAAGCTCGACGCCAATCTCGTCGAAACATCGACATCAATCTGAGTTTGTTCCTCGTCGTGTTCTTCTTCGTGATTTGTTGTGGTCCCTACCCGGTATTGTTGATTCTACTCGGGGACAAGTCCAACAAAGTCGTCCCGTTTTTCGCGGCAATTTTGGTCAGCAACAGCTGCATAAACCCCGTGATTTACACGGCGCGGCACCCAGACTTCAAGACAGTCATCCGCTGTATCTTACTGTGTAGACTCTCCAAGATACCCATGAAATCGGCGTTCCTCCGGCGCATACTGTCACGGTTAGGCTGACCCTAAGATCCGTAGACATTTCGTGAATAGGTCATACTTTTCAACGAAAGTTGACATTTTTAGGATAATAATTGACTGGGTTTCCTAGTTATTGAAACTTGACTATATAGGAATTTAGTTAAACATGCAAAGTTTAATTCACTATGACTAGAAAAAGTAGTTGGATTTGACTCCAATTTTAGTTATTTGCATAACTATTTTTCCTATAGTCAACAATACTTACTGGAAAAATCTAGTCAGATTGACTGATTTTCAGTTGCACCCAGCTGACACTGAATGGCTAGTCAAATTTAACTGTTTTTTTTCTTTTTAGAGTGTACAAACTGCAGATAAATCACAATCCTGGAAAAAATGTAAGAGATTTCAGTGTAATAAAAAAATCAAAGATGATTTTGTTATTTTAATGTAATCTTGAAGATACATCAGCATGGAAAGTAACGTTTAGTATTCATCGGCGCGTACTTTCACTCCGGGTAAGAAATTCTTAGATCTATATCTGTATCTTCGCACTAGTTTTTGCAGTTTCGAACTGACTACCAGATAAACAGCGCACATATTTAACAATGTTGGCCTTTATGACCCCCTTAATGGGCCAGTAAACAGGCCCAAACCAGCCTTCGCAGGCCAAATCACTATTTGCATGCCCCCAAATTCTCTGCTATTAAGGGGTGCATACCTATGTTCCCCAGTACCGATGTTCCCCGAAATCCTTACTCTATAACCCTAATCCTTACCCTATAACCCTAACCACGCTAGCCCTAACCCTAACCCTAATCCTAAGGATATCGGGGAACATCGGTATTGGGGAACATAGGTATTGGGGAACATCGGGTAGACCTCCTTGTAAGTGGGCTATGAACGTGAGGCTCTGTTTAAAAAGAAGAGCGGACAGGGCAGCGAGATTGTATTTCCCTGAACTTTGGAGTGTAGGCATATCATTTTTCAAAATTGCGACGGGCTGATCATCTTTAGATGGAAATTTCTCCGTTAGTCATATCAGATCATCCTAACAAAAAAAAATGAACAGGAAACAAAAGATGTTAAATTAAGTTTTCATTTGATGTGTGTCTTAAGCACCTTGGAGAGTTGAGATTATTTTCCCTGAATTTCGAAGGTGGGCGTATTTATCACTGGGGTCTATGGCAGTCTGCAAACCCTATGCCGCGGACTGTAAGAAAGAATGCAACCAGCAGACTATTTTTCGGACTAATGAACGCTTCGATGACGCTAGTTAATGGGTCAAACAGACGTTAACCTACGTGTAAAGGTTAGTTTAGATTTTGCTACTATTTAAAAAAAAAAGTTGTGTATGATTATATTTTTTGAAAGTCTGTTTTTATTTTATAGGCCACTCAAAAGGATTTAGGAGAGACTAAGAAGTCATTTTTCAAGAGATAATATACTTGTTTTCTGCTGGTAATGGCCATTTCAAATTAACCGGTAATAAACTCCCCCACGGGGATTAAATCTTGAAATGTAATGTAAATCTTTCTGAATCGGCCGGAAAGTAGTTCCAGATTATTTAAATGGCCTTATTGAAATCAAACTGGAACAAAACAGAAAAAAATAGTTGTTTTTATAACACCTCACCCACAGATTCTGTGTCTTGATTGGCCGAGAGCGAGTCACATGTTACTTTCTAATTTTGCTATCTTTCTGTTCACGGCCAAAAGTACTATACCCGTAGCAAGCAAAGTACTATACCATTAGCAGCCAAAGTACTATTTCCACGGCGCGGTATTTACGCGAGTCTAACAAAGTCGTCCCGTTTTTCGCGGCGATTTTGGTCAGCAACAGCTGCATAAACCCCGTGATTTACACGGCGCGGCACCCAGACTTCAAGACAGTCATCCGCTGTATCTTACTGTGTAGACTCTCCAAGATACCCATGAAATCGGCGTTCCTCCGGCGCATACTGTCACGGCTAGGCTGACGATCCGTAGACATTTCGTGAATAGGTCATACTTTTCAACGAAAGTTGACATTTTTAGGATAATAATTGACTGGGTTTCCTAGTTATTGAAACTTGACTATATAGGAATTTAGTTAAACATACAAAGTTTCATACTATGACTAGAAAAAGTAGTTGGATTTGACTCCAATTTTAGTTATTTGCATAACTATTTTTCCTATAGTATACAAATATTGAATGCTTCGAGTGGTGTAGTAAAACTAGCCTCCCGAGGTGATCCATGGACATTCTATTTTCCAGAGGCGAAGCCGAGGGAAAATAGAATGGTCCATGGATCACCGAGGGAGGCTAGTTTTACTTCACTACGAGATAACGCATTTAATATTTGTTTTATAACACTTCACCCACAGATTCTGCTTGATTTTAATATTTTAAATTATCTTAATCTGAACACAGTTGAAATAAACTTCAATTTCAATACAAAATTGGTGGAAAATGTATTTCAGTCTTCCAAACTACCCCTTCACGAAATGTTCGAACCCAAGTCTGTGGCGCGCTCTCTTTGGAACAATACGCGCTACGCGCAACGCGCACACCAGCATGCATTTGCACACAGATACCGCGCCATGGAAATAGTACTTTGGTTGCTAATGGTATAGTACTTTGGTTGCTATGCGCATAGTACTTTTGGCCGTGCACAGAAAGATAGCAAAATTAGAAAGTAACATGTGACTCGCTCTCGGCCAATCAAGACACAGAATCTGTGGGTGAGGTGTTATAATCAACAATACTTCCTGGAAAAATCTAGTCAGATTGACTGATTTTTAGTTGCACCCAGCTGACCCTGAATGGCTATTCAAATTTAACTGGTTTCCAGTCAAATCTGACTGTTGTGTTTTTTAGAGTGTACAAACTGCAGATGAATCACAATCCTGGAAAAAAATGTAAGCGATTTCAGTGTAGTAAAAAATCCAAGATTATTTTGTTATTTTAACGTCATCTTGAAGATACAACAGCATGGAAAGTAACGTTTAGTATTCATCGGCGCGTACTTTCACTCTGGGTAAGAAATTCTTAGATCTATATCTGTATCTTCGCACTAGTATTCGCAGTTTCGAACTGACTACCAGATAAACAGCGCACACATTTAACAATGTTGGCTTTTTATGACCACTTTAATGAGCCAGTAAACAGGCCCAAACCAGCCTTCGCAGGCCAAATCACTATTTGCATGCCCCCAAATTCTCTGCTATTAAGGGGTGCATACCTATGTTCCCCAGTACCGATGTTCCCCGAAATCCTTACCCTATAACCCTAACCCTAGCCCTAACCCTAACCCTAATCCTAAGGATATCGGGGAACATCGGTATTGGGGAACATAGGTATTGGGGAACATCGGGTAGACCCCCTTTTAAGTGGGCTATGAACGTGAGCCTCTGTTTAAAAAGAAGAGCGGACAGGGCAGCAAGATTGTATTTCCGTGACCTTTGGAGTGTAGGCATATCATTTTTCAAAATTGCGACGGGCTGATCATCTTTAGATGGAAATTTCTCCGTTAGTCATATCAGATCACCCTAACAAAAAAAAAATGAACAGGAAATAAAAGATGTTAAATTAAGTTTTCATTTGATGTGTGTCTTAAGCACCTTGGAGAGTTGAGATTATTTTCCCTGAATTTCGAAGGTGGGCGTATTTATCACTGGGGTCTATGGCAGTCTGCAAACCCTATGCCGCGGACTGTAAGAAAGAATGCAACAGACTACTTTTTGAACTAATGAACGTTTCAATGACACTAGTTAATGGGTTAAAACAGACGTGAACCTACGTATAAAGGTTAGTCTAGAATTGCTACGATTTAAAAAAAGGGCCACTCAAAAGGATTTAGGAGAGACTAAGAAGTCATTTATCAAGTGATAATACTTGTTTTCTGCTGGTGATGGCCATTTCAAGTTAATGCCCCACGGGGATTAAATTTTGAGATGTAATGGCAAAAATCTTTCTGAATTGGCCGGAAAGAAGTTTCAGATTATTTAAATGGCCTTATTTAAATCAAACTGACCCGGGGGGGAAACAAAACGGGGAAAAAATAGTTATTTATATCTTACGCGGGACATACTGTAGTGATCATACTGTTGTACACGTACTTCCAGACGTGAATAAGTCACAGATATATGGTGACACATTGACAATTTTATGCCACCCTGAAAAAAAATGTTGATACGCTTATTTTGAATTGTCCGACATCATGGACACAGAAGTGACTTTCTATCAAATTGACGGACATCATGGACACATGTCGTTCGTCCGACATCACGGACACAGAAGTGTCCCTATACTGAATCATCCGACATCATGAAAACATAAGTGTTCGTGTATTGAATTGACCGACATCATGGACACAGAAGCATCTTATTTTAAATTGTCCGACATCACGGACACATGTGTCCCTATACTGAATCGCCCGGCATCATGAACACAGAAGTGTTAGTTTAAGAATTGTCGGACATCATGAACACAGAAGTGTCTTATTCAATTGTCCGACATCATGGACACAGAATTGACTGAACTCGTCCGACATCATGGACATGAACAGATGTATTCGTATATTTGAATTGTCCGACATCAAGCACACAGAAGTGAATGTGTATATAATGATTTGTCCGACAGCATGGACACAGCTAGACGTGTCCGTATATTGAATTAACCAACATCATTGACACATAAGTGTCCGTATATTGACCGACAATCTTGGACACGTGTCCGTTTATAAAATTAACCGACATCGATTGACATAGAAGTGACTGTATATTGAATTGTCCGACATCATAGACAAAGAAGTTGGGGTATAACTGAAAACGAGACTATACACCATGCTGTAAAAACCAAGCAGTCATTTCAGCAGTAGCGTAAACATATTTACGTATTTCAGCGGGGGATAAAAATTGTCAATGTCACAATAAATCTGTGTCTTATTCGCGTCTGAAATACGTGCACAGAAGTATCATGTCTGAAAATACGTGTACAACAGAATGGCCATTGTAATGTGTCCCGCGTCAGACAAAAGCAACTGCCTTTTCCCCTCTCTTCC